TGTGGCTGGGGAGCTTGTTCTTGGAGTAATTTGTTCCATTTCTTCTTTTTATGTAGGATGAATGCTGTAGAAAGTTTTTCATAGTCTCTTTGTATCCACTGTATATTGTCAGGGAACATGCATGGATTTCTATCTTTTAAGTTCTTGTAGCGTATGGCGATTTCCTTCCTGAGTTGGTCTCTTTTGGAGTAGAGTAGGTAAAGTAGATGATTTCTAATTTTCTCTGAAGTTCTTCTGCATAGCTGTGAAGCATATTTGGAGTTGTGTAGTAGTCAGGGGATTGTAGATGTTCAGTCCTCGGGGAATGATGTGTTTCTTGCAAAAGCTTAAAAAATGTATGTCGCTGTTGGGTTTGGCTTCTTTCTTTTTCATGTTGTACAGTTGCCATTTCAGACGGCTGAATTTGATATCTTCCATGTTGCAGGGGTTTGGGTTGTAGCCGTGTTGGTCTAAGGACATAGGCAGACAAGGTTCCTTGGGTGAATTTGATATCTTTTACTAGACCAACCAAATGGTTGGAGAATAATTGAAGGGGTCTTGGCTGAAGTCTTCTCAGGAGCCTTGGCTTCAGTTTTTTCTGGAGTCTTGTCTGCTTTTTTAAAGAAAGTGTCCAAGAAGCTTCTTAAAGGAGCTGCCCCACAAATGGCTCCTAAAGAGCAGCACCCTGCTGTTCTAGCCATGTATCCGGAAGGGTGGAGGGGGTGCTGTGTGCCCCCAGGTCTGCTTTACTACAGCCTGCTCCACCCCAATCAGATCCGGGATCACAAGTTCCTCCCTGCCCCATGACAAGCGGTGAGAGCTGCCAGATGAGCCGTGGCTTCTTCCACGGCCACCCAGCTCTGCCTGCTTCTCCTTAGGAGGACAGCCTGAGGAGCAGCTGGACAAGCCTTAGGAGAAGCCAAGGCTGCTTGACTGCTCCCCCAGCTGGTCCTGCCGGAGCAAGGCAGACAGAGCCAGGGGGCCACAGCTTCTCCCAAGGCTCGTCCGGCTCTGTCTGCCTCGCCCCAGCAGGGGCAGCCGGGGGAGCAGCCAGAGACCTGCAGCTTCTCTCGCAGCCACCCAGATACGCCTGCTTCTCCCTGGTGGGGGCAGCCAAAAAACAGCTGGACGAGGCACAGGAGAAGCTGTGGCCACCTGGCTGCCCCCGCCAGGGAGAGGCAAACAAGGAAGCAGGCCGCGGAGAC